GGGAGGCGGCCTGCTAACGCTGAGCTCTGGAGATGTGTTTGTGCTTCCAGGTGTATCTGAGCTTTAACAACGTCTCAGCTCTGAAGATGCTGGCAGCCAGAAGCAGCTGGCGCCTGAGCTGTGAGAAGGACCAGGTATGTGCGTCTCACTAATGAGCTGTTTGTTTGTGTGAGTCTGCCCATCGGTGCTTTATGTTGTGTTCACAGGTTCAGCTTTACACCCTGGAGCAGAAGTCCATGCTGAGTTTCAAGATTGAATGTGAGGTGGACGTTCCTGCTCACAGAGCCTTTGATTTACTCGCCGAGCTGAGCAACAGGCCGAGCTGGGACTCGCATTACAAGTAAGACTCTGGGACTCGTCTGTTTGCCCGTTGCTACGAGTCAAGTTCAGCGGTTTCTGTGCGCGGCCTGTTTCGACTCGCTGCCTCGGTATTGTTCTCCGATTCCAATGATGGACTTTTCTGAGGTTCAGGGTTAAAAATAAGCGACGTGTAGTTTAGGTTCATGCTGCTCACTTTGCACTGAGGCTGACCTGTTAAGGTTAAAGTGACATTAGCTGTGAGGGCCTGTCTGTCTCTTTATTGTCACGTTTACATAAAAGGGGAACGGTGGCTCTCCCCCAGCCGAGCCAGCCTGCAGATGAAGCTCATCCTAGCTGCTTAGATTTGCAGCCTTATTCTTTGCATTGATCTCATGACCAGCAGGTGGTGGAAAGAACGTGGTGAGCAGCTCTTGAACCCAAACTCCCCTTGTCTGTGGAGGAGGCGGAGCTTTGTCTCCGATGCTGTCAACACCGTGGGCCTGTGCTGGTGGAGCAGACCACTGTGGGAAATCCCAGTTTTAAAACAATAACTGGATGTTGTGGATCGGTCACTGAGGTATCGTAGTGCTCAGCTTCCCTTGGAAAGTTATTTTTCACAGAGCTGAAAAGGAGGCGTTAACTCACTGTTGAGAAGATCTGGGCCCCCATTCCATCCTGGCTGTGGGACACGGGACCAGATCTTCACCCTCACAGGACGTCTGGAGAGAGGTTTATAAGTGCTCTGTAGACTCGGACAACCAGGTACCAGGACGGCGTCTGTGGGGTGTATCGCAGCGGTCCATTTAGAAATGGAGTGAAAGCTGTGGCTGCTCCTCAGTAGGAGGACTCGAGGGTGTGTGTCCGATCCTGTGTGTGATATTCACGAACAGGATCTCTAAGTGTAGCTGATGTGGGGAGGGCAGCTTCCTTGTTTTTGCAGATGATGCAGTCCTGTTGGCTTCATCACAGTCTGACCCTTAATAAGGACTGGATGGATGGTTCAGAGGCCGTGGTTCTCCGTGGAACGTCGCGGCAGGAGTCTGCCCCAAGCGAGGGTTTTTAATACGTTGGATTGTAAGGTGGAGCACGAGCTGTTTATGCAGTGATGTGGAGTTTAGATTTACAACTCCATCTAATATGCTATCATTGCATCAGGCCGGGGAGCTTGTATGTTCCCCCCGCGT